GAAGCCGTCATGCTATTTCCCCTGCAGTAACTCACCTCCAAAAGAGATGATGAAACCACCCTAGCTTTAACCCACAAGAAGAGGAAATTGACAGCTCATAAAACATGCATTTCTCATGATCATCATCATCAAACCCTTTTCCTCTGAGAAAAAGAAATATGTCCTATGCATAGACATTTGTTCAGGTGATGATAGAGAACAAGATTTGGTTTTCGAGAGCAGAGCGCAAGGAAGAACATGGTCTTCAAATTCGCCACCTTTGATCCCGCTCAAGATCCTGATGATTTCAGCCATGCTTTTCCTCAATCTCCTGCATCATCACCATCAGCACCATGTGACTATACTGACAGCTGCATCAGAGCTTTAGTCAGCCGGCTCGCTGTCGCTGGTACTTCTAGCATCTTAACATTTCAGCCGCGACACTCATATGCACTCATGCTCACATTTCTCTCATTTGTGCTTGTGCTCATCATTCCAAAGTGTCCTCTGGCCTATTTGTAGGCTCTGTAAGTCGGTTACTTTTTCTGGACTATACTTGCTGGATTCTTCCAGAAAACATCATGTAAAGGTGACAGGCAACGTGATTTTGGAAAAGAATAGACCCTAAAAAAAGAAGACTGTTCTAAAGGGAGGATGATCATGATGTGCTAAATAGTTCTAGAGAGTCATTTTGGTTATATTTGACTGAGCTCCTAATAATTAATGACCCAGAATTTCATCCATGACAAGCACGCGAATAAACTAACAACTTGCGAATACTATTTTCCCTGATTAGTTCATTGCTCCGCAAGGTGCCAGAACTTCAATCCCTACTGTTTTTTTTCCCTCTTTGTCATCTTCTCCTTGAATATAGCTCCCAAATTTCAGAAAATGCTGCCCTATAGGTTGGATTTCTCAGCAGCAGGCATCCTTCAAAGATTTTCCTCGATAATCTACTTGTCGATCTTCGGAAGTTGTTATTGTAACATCCTGAATTTCGACCTATTTCCAGGATCTGACGAAGTGGATATTATTTCTCATCTGATTTTAGTACGTCTCGCCTGGAGCTGGCCCCTCGCGGGATACTGACCAATGGGAAAGGCTAACTAGGAAAACGGTACGTGGACCGGGGACCATATCGCGAATCGGGCGCCGATTCCGAGAAACGGCAGGGAAGTATTTTGGGTCAGTGTGGACCGATTCTAGGAAGGTGACGGATCTGGTCTGGCCAACGACGTACGATCGGATCGCGGGTGATTCCGCTTGACCGAGAGTGCGCGTGGCAAATAAATCCCGAACCTGAACCGAACGATCGTGACCCCTGGAATAATCAATAATTCCTTGCGCTATCCGGTAATCGAGACCGTCACGACTCGAGTAACCCTAAGTCGATACGCATAACCCCTAAACAGCCACCCGTCAGTAAGAGGCTCTAAAATTCTGAATTGAGCAAATTTGATCCCCAAATTGGACCCGAACTTCGATGTCGAAATTCTATGAGTGTTTGCGACTATTTTGCAAGGCCAACGTCGTTTTGGTGTGGCCACATACATTTGGGGCTAGTCCAGCTGAAAATTGGAATTTCGGCCGAAATTGGAAAAATTACGATTTTACCCTTTTGGATTCCGACGTTGATTTTCGAGGCCGTATGAGATTATTTTTCGAGGCCGATGCCGTTTTAGGGTGGCCACGCATATTTGGAGTGTGTACGGTCGAAAAATGGAATTTCGACCTGAAAGTGAAAAATTTACTATTTTGTCTCCCAGACTTTGAAGTCGATTTTCGAGGGTTTAAAAGGTTATTTTTGCGAATCCGACGTCATATTATGTTGGCCACACACATTTGGGGTTGGTATGGTCGAAAAATGGAATTTCAACCCAGGACCGGAAAATTACCGTTTTGCCCCTATGACTCATTTTTAGCGTTCCGAATTTTGGGCCATTTTTGAGGATTAAATTTGGATATTTTAATGTATATTTCAGCCCAATAATTCAAGGGGTGAAAGACCAAAACACAGTTGATGTTTTGGGTTGGATTATTGAGAACCAAGTGTGTAAAGGGCAACTTTGGAATTTGGAAAAGTTGGTCAAAGTTATTATTGCCCAATCCTCTCTCTCTCCTCCCATTTTCCTCCCCTTCAGCCGTGCACCCCCCCTCCTTCCACGCCACTCCTCTTCTTCTCTTTCTTTTTTATCTTTGTTTGGCCGTGAGAGGCCCTCGCCGGAGGATCGCCATCCGCAAGCCACCACCGTTTGCGCCGCCGTGAGGACGCCGGAGCGCCGCCGCTGAACCGGGTCGATCCAGCTGCTGTTCAGCCCTTCTTTCTCCTTGTTCAGCCCACTTTTGAAGCCATAAACCTAGTGAGTGGAAATCCTAACCCTTAATTAGGATTATGTGCACTTTGGACAAGTTTTAGGGGTTATTAGGGTATTTTAGGGGTTGATTAGAGTGGGCTGATTTGGGCTGAAGTTATGGTGATTTTAAGGACCTAATGTGATGATTTAGGGATGGTTTAAAGGCTGTGGATCATTGGATTAGTGGTTGGTTGTGTTTGGTTTGCTTGGTGGTGCATAATTGTTGATTTCCGGTACAGTTACTGTTGCGTCATCGGATTTTGTTATTTTTTGGTGTGACTTGTGTGGGCCGAATTTGAAGAAGTTTTCTTCATGAAAGTTGTTCCCAACATCTTGAAGTATAACATACTTTAATTTGGGAATTTTTGGAAATCATTTGATGCCATTCGGAAGTCCATCTTTGGACCGAATTAAAACTGCCCGATTTACTGTTCACCCGACCTTCGGGTATGTTCGAATTTTTTATACATTTTTTTAGGCCTATTTTCAAAATATTTCCTTCACAAAAATTGTTGGGGACATTTGTGTCTATAAAATATAAAAATTTCAAGGTTTTCCAAAATGATTTGGGTATTGAATGAGTTGTATTTTGATGGCCTGAGGGGCTGTCCGAGAGAACCGGATTTCGTCTGACTTTGAGTGTCAAAACGAGGTGTTTACGGTTAGAACTGGGTTTCAAGTTCTTCACAGAAAATGTTCATTGAGATGTTTTGTACAACATATCCAAATTTCATAATTTTTGGAATTGATTTACCATTTATTTCAAATGGATTTCGGTCACTGTACAACAGCCCAGTTTGGACCCGATTTTGTATATTCCCGGTTTTCTCTCTCTCGGACCGAGTAGTGGCTGTCCATTGAGGTTTAATTGGGCCTTGTACGGTTAATGTGTGGTTTGTTCGTGAATTGTCATGTGTGAATGGTTAGGCAATGTAGTGGCTGATTTGGGTATAAATTATGCTTGATTGTGTTAAATTTTGTGGTGCCTCGTTTGAGCGACTCGGTGGTTGAACGGTACTTTGTCGTGCTCAATTGTTTAATGCCATGCCGCCTGATTTCGTGTTCGAGCAATGCGGTGTGTGATTGGCCAATCATTGGTGTGAATGTTTATTGCCCAAGTGCGTGAATTATGTTTTGGGCCACATGGTACTAGTTGGCCAAGTGCGCATGTTATGCGAATAAGTATGGACAATTGATTGGCTATTTGAGCACGTTGATTTGGCATGTTTGTTGAAATGCTGTGCTGAAATTGAATGCTGATGTTGCATTGTACGACATTGCATGGCCACGCATTGTGTATGCCGAGAATGGGGCATGAGATGAGATTGTGCGAGAATGCGTGCCTGACATGAGCATGTGATCACCTAATTGCCCTTATGCGTGTTACGCGAGGTTCAGATAATAACTGGCTGTGTGTATGTGTGATCACATTTCGCCCTGATGCGTGTTACGCGGGGTGTGCTGTCCTCATGCACTTTGAAGCAGGACGATGCCCGGTACGTCCGGAAGACGACCATCCTGATGCGTTTTACGCGGGCTCTGGTTCGTGGGGAGATCAGTGTTGCGCCTCATGCACTTTGTAGCAGGCTAGAGACACTGGGCCAGATCGGTGTTGCGCTTCGTGCACTTTATAGCAGGCTAGACGCACCGGGCCAGGAATTGTGATGACTCAAGTCGTAATGAATAATAATAATGGAGCATGAGCCAGTGTGCAGTGTGAGCCAGAATGAAACATGGCATGATGATGACATTTGCATGCATAAGAATGCATGGGCCAGTGTGCGAGTATGCAAGACTCGGTGAATGGCATGCAAGATGAACACTTTGAGTATGAGCATGCGTATGACGTACGTGTGAAAATGTGTGCCACGTATGTGTCGTGATTATTATATCGAACTATTTAACCTGCAGGGTCAGTAAGGTAAGCGATCCGGGCTCAAGGGCCTAGGTCATTTGATTGACATCATTGTCGGTTGTTGTGTTGATTGCTTGTCGAGAGGTGCATGTTAGCCTAGTTTCGGTTTAGGAGGTCTACTCACTGAGATTCGTCTCATAGTTGTTTAAACCCCATTTTGCAGACCCCTGTTAGAGGATACCTGGTGTACCCGATCAATATAAGGATCCGGAGCCCATAGAGCAGGATCCCGAACAGGTTGGCGAGGTCGAGCAAAAGGATTCGGAAGATGAGATAATCGAGGCTGAGTCCGTGTCATCAGGATCCGATCCAGATTAAGTTTCCTAGGATCAGTCTTAGCCTCTCTTAGATTGGGCCGGTAACCCTTTGATTGTAGCCCCACCTTAGACTGCCCCCTTGGCCGCTTAGTCATTTTGTTAGTAGTGGCCGTCAACCCGCTTTTGTTTGGAGATTTGTGTTGGTGTATCGTGGACATTGTATATGTTTTGAAGTTCAATGCAAGTCTTGATTATTAGGCTTTTAATTGTTCGTCGTTCCTGCTACCCTTGGTCATGTATTGTTTTGTACGGGTGTTGTAATTATTGCTTCTGCATGTGCCTTATGCTCTGTTTTGGGAGTTGGGTCAGCGACGCGTCCTGGGACATCGCATCAAAATCGACCGGTACATAGGTTGATCGCGCTTCGAGGGGTTCGGGGCGTGACAGTTGTGTAGTACTTATTGGAAAGATTATGGTGTAGAACCTTGGGAAAAGATGCTGAAATTAAAGGATGAACCTTTTAAATATGGCGAACTTGCGAGGATAACAGGGAACTTTGGAATGGTTCTCGTTGAAGGAGGATCTGGAAATATATATTTTGGAACACTAGAGGATGGCACCGAAGTTGCTGTGAAGGTCTTCTTTTGTTTTTCTATACGAGGGTCCAGGGAATTTCAAGCCAAGGTTAGATAGAACAAGGCAAATGATGCATATTTAGAAACTTGGTCCCAAACTAATGTCCGTATAAACACCGGTAATGCACCTTGTGATTTTGCAGGCCAAACACTTGAGGGCTGTTCACCATGAAAACTTGGTTTCTCTGCTTGGATATTGTGATGGCACCAAAACCAAGGGGCTAATATATGAATTTATGGATGGTGGAAATCTGCAACAAAACTTAACAGGTATTTTATCATTCTCTTTTACAGTCCTTTCTCTAGAATTATCCCGAAGATGCCTGTTTTTCGCATATAACGGTGGTAGATGTGTTGATTTAACAGGCGACATTCCAAATTTCTTGACTTGGAGTAAGAGACTACAAATTGCCGTGGATGTAGCACAAGGTCTGTACATGAAATATCCACTATTACAGTTTTTGCTCTGGCATGGTTTAAGGAGTTTTTACAAAGAATTGCAGGTTTGGATTATCATGATTGCCAACCACCCATCATCCATGGAGACTTGAGCGCTGCAACATCTGGTTGAATGAGGAAATGCAAGCTAAATTAGCTGACTTTGGTATCTCAGCTTTTGAACCTCGAGCTCTTGATTCTTATCCAACTTGTCCTCTGGGCACTCGAGGCTACTTCGACCCAGAGTAATGACTAAAACTCAATCTTGTCCAATCTCTTTATGCACAAAATCAGACATTCCCTAAGATTTCATGTGTCACTTCTCATTTATTAATATCCATCCCTTCTTCACTACTTGGATACACACGAAACTACTACTGAAACATTTCAATGTTTATAGGTCTTATCTTTTCCACTTCTTAAGTGGTTAAAATTTGGACTTGACAAAAAAAAAGCTCAAAAAGGATAAATGACTCAGAGATTCAAAGAGAAGCCTTATCATGACCTAGAAATTGTCTTCTCATCCATATTCTCATATGTATATGCAGGTTTTATCCATATTCAAGGCCAGACACGAAAAGTGACGTTTATGGTTTCAGAATCATACTCTTTGAGCTAATTACAGGACATCCAGCAGTAACTAGAGGCGCAGTGCGCAACGTGTTTTTACTCCAGTGGATGACTCCTATCGTTGAAACTAAAGAATACAGATGATTATGGATCCAAGTTTACAAGGAAAGTTCGACATTGACTCGGCTTGGAAAGCGATAGAGATTGCAAAGTCTTGTACACGGCCAACTGGAGTAGAAAGGCCGGACATAACTCATGTACTGGCGTTACTGAGGCAATCTTTAGCACTAGAATTGGCATCTCAGTGCTGCCACTCCGAGGTAGTTAACTAACTAGAAAATGTCAACTTTAGGTGCAAAAATATCTGCAGCAATTTTGTGCTGAACTCAAGTGGTGGCTTATGTTTTAGAGTTCATACTTGTATTTAAATTTGGATTTCCGTAAGCTATCCTTGTCTTTGTGATTGATCGTGTTGAGTGGGGTTCTCAATAGAACCCGAGCAATATTCCCTACTTTTCAAAGTACTTTAACTATTGTCTTTTGCGGAAGAAAATGTCTATAAGTCCTCTTTGTATGTCGTGTTTACTCCAGCTTCTTCTTCTTCTTGTTATTGCTTCATAGCAAAATCCTTCTTCTAGATCATAGCTAAAGATGAGAACCCAAAAAGCGGAAAAGGATTATTTTGAACTCTCTCTCTCTCTCTCTCTCTCTCTCTCTCTCTCTCTCTCTCTCTCTCTCTCTCTCTGTGTTCGTGCTACCGCACCCGAAAACCAGAAAACACCTTTCTTGGTTGTGGAAAATTTATCAAATTATGGAAAACTGTCAGACTACCCATGAATAAAACGAGTTGTGTTGAAATGGCAAGAAACTCACTCGATTTTGTGCCTTGTGAAATGAAGATACCTGATGTATCTACTCTACTGCTACGAGGTTGAATTGATCTTCAAATATGAAGATACAGAGTAAAGTCAGGATGAAAACGAGTGTGTGGGTGGGCCAAGTCCAAGAGAGAGAATTGTGGAAAATTCATCATTGGATGTGATTGTGGCGAGATACCAATCAGATTGACGATTCTTGCAGCACCGCGTGGACAGTTGTCACAACAACATGACATGCCCCACTTCACTTGAACGGAGCAAGTTCAATAATCTGCTCTTCTTGTTACTTCAATGAAAGTCCCCGGGAAAGCCAAGCAGAGCGCTTCTTAGATGCTGCATTGTAGTTCCTTTTGCGTTATATTCGCCCCAATCACTCTTACTGAAGATCCCACTATTCTCCTTCCGCGACATCAGCATCAGCCTGTCGTCAATGGCGTGATCGCCGTCGCACTAAGGCAAATGCCATCGTCCGGTTTGCAGTCAGTGCTTCTCTCATCTGAACAACCCTAATTGCAAAGGGAATGCAACAAACAAGGGGAAGGATGAACAGAAGTGGATATTGTCGGTGAATTCCAAAGTTTCTAATAAGACGGGTTCAAAAAGTTCTTCAAACACACGCAAAAAGAATTAGTTACCTTTTGTCATGGAAAAAAATAATCAGAGAGCTAATTCATCAATAACTGTCATTGCGGAAGATGATACACTTGCAGGTTTCATCTTATCAGTTCCCAATTAAAGTATTTCTTGGCCCAAAAAAATAAACATTATAGATAGATTAACAAATTTTATCCAAAATTGGCTCTAAAGAGGTTGAATTCCTCGACACCAAGTGCTACGGTGAGCTTCAGTAGATCCTGGAATTATGGTATTACCAAAATGCATCTTTTCAATATCAAAAAGTACTTTCAACAAAAAAAAATCGAAAAGTAGTTATAATCAATGTCATAGAAGAGAATGGCGGATTGTGTAGGTTTTATCTTGGTTCTTACATATTTCTAAATGCGACATAAACCGGAAAAACCCCCACCCCGAATGATTGACTTGAAGTTGTTTGTGTCGGGATTTGCTTCATGGAGCCTAGGTCTAGGTCTATGCTTTGCCTCCGCTCGTACCCGTAACCTCAGTCAGCAGCTTCTAGATGGATTATGACACTTGTGATCCACTGATTGGTCGCTAAAGATGGTTCTAGGGTCCAAGCATCTGTTGTACCATTTTCTTTGCCATGACGCTTAAGTCACGAGTAGAGGGGCCTTTTGTGCTTGGAAAGTGGCAATTTCCGTGTGGGCACACAGAGGCACACACCGCTTGCGGGGGGTCTCCTAATAACATCATGATAAAAGTCTTCTCTGGACTTGACTTAGTGCTCCTTTCATATACGGCCTTTCACACTGCCTCTTGGAAGCTGCCATGGCAATTTCCTCTATTAAACTATATGTTGTTTCTTAAAACTTCCATATAACATCTCTTACCCACAAGAAGAAGGGGCACAGAGATCTCTCACAACACATTCATTTGTTAAGCTCATGATAAAGTAACTCGGGTTTGGTTTCTAGAGAGAAGGGAAAAGGAAGGAAAATGGTGTTCAAATTTGCCACCTTCGATCCCGCCCAAGATCCCGACGATTTTAACCCGGCTTTTCCACCTACTCCATCATCATCATCATCATCATCATCCTCAGCAACGCCCTGTCAGCCTTGCGAATACACTTCCACTTTCACCAGAGCCATTGTCAGCCGGCTCATCGCTGCCGGTGCTTCTCTTGTCTTAACAGCCCCAGCTTTTGAATTTGATGGTCATGAGATTCGGGACCAATGGGCGGAGACGCCACTTCAGAGTGTCAACTTCGATGTCCGTCCAGAATTTCACCAAAGACAACTTAAAGAGTATCAAATCTGTCTTGAAGGTGGCTACCCAAAATTTTAGTGACAAGAAACTTATAGGCAGAGGTGGATTTGGCAGAGTCTACGAGGGTCAGTTAGCTGATGGCTCTCTAGTGGCAATCAAAAGATGCAAAGAACTCACTCCAGGTTATATGCGCCAGTTCGAAGCAGAAGTGATGATTGGTAGCATACCCCGACATCACAATCTGCTTCCCATGCTCAGATCTTACAGAACATCAAAATGCAGGGACTTACTGCTCGTCTCCCCCTTCATGATCAATAAAAGTGCGGGATCGTGCTTGAGAGAGCGACCCGAGACACAGCCCCCGCTGGACTGGCCTACCCGCAGACAGATAGCCGTGGGAGTCGCGAGAGGGCTGTCCCATCTGCATGATCTGAACATAGTGCACCAAGACATCAAAGCTGCAAATATTCTGTTGGATGAGGAATTTGAGCCTCACATTGGAGACTTTGGGTTGGCTAAGTTCATCAATCGCAGGCACAGTAGATACTTTGTGGATTGCATCGAGGATGCACCCGTACTTCCATGGAACGAATCCGAAGCAGGATCCCACAGTGAATATTCTGATGTCACGACAGGGGTACGTGGCACAATAGGACATATTGCGCCAGAGTATCTCAGTACCGGGAAATGTTCGGTGAAGGCCTATGTCTTTGCTTTTGGGATAATGCTTCTGGAACTCGTGACCAGACAAATTGTTCTTGATCTTTCAAGGCTTGCAAACATGTGGACATGAGGTTACTCGATTGGGTTCTAGGGCTTCTGGTAGAGCGTAGTTTGGAAATTCTAGTGGATCCTGATCTGCAGGTCGAATATGACCAGGAGGAGATGGAGAAAGTGATCCAACTGGCTCTTTTGTGCACACAAACTGTACCAAGAAGATGACCATCCATGGCACAAATGGTCCGAATACTCAAAGGCCATAGCATCGAGGAGAGATGGGAGGAGTATCGTTATTGGAAGGGGTATCAGAGTTACTTGGAGTGTCTGAGTTACTCGGGACAATTCCGAATCCATGACTGTATTCTAGACGACTCCTCTTCGCTACTCAGCCCTGAAGAATTATCCGGACCCAGATAATCTAGTTGACATAACAATCCAGTTCGTTCTTCGTGGATCAATGCCTCAGATAGATAACTCTGAGTGATGAGAGTGGATGTTACTTATATAACTGTAATATTTGCCTGGTCAAATATAGGGTGCACTCTCATTATAAGTGGCCTCTCATTATAAAGTGAAAAGGAGAGCACGCGGAAAAGAAAGAAGGAGAAAAAGAAAAGAAAAAAAAGGGAAGAATAAGAAAGGAAAAAGAAAAGAGAAAGGAGTACCTGCTTCGAAAATCTCGGCAAGCCAAATTAACTTCGTTTCGCAACGCTTGGTAAGGATTCGAGCCCTTTGTTCATCTAATCGGAGTAATTTTCAGATTTAGTGTATAATTTCGAAGTTATGTGAGTTCTGAATTGCGGGATCCAATTTTGGAGTTGTTAAGCAAAGGAATTTTTATGGAAATGATCGTTTGGGGTATTATGGAGCTATGTGGTCTGATGGAAATCGATTTGAGTTATGGTTTAGTCAGAGCAAAAATTTTAAAGTTTTGTGCTCGAGCTACACGTAGTAGATAGTTTTGAATATTTACTTTGAGCAAGCGTTTTGTTAGGGAGTTGTTTTCTCCGGGATTAAGTTTAGTTTAGTTGATTCTTAATTGAGGTAGCGTTTTTTTACTTTTGATGATGTTTCTCACTTATTCAATAGGATTACAAATTCATCGACTCAAGTAACCTTTGTTATTTGGTTTTAGGCTTCTCTTGGTGAGTGATGCTTATCTCTCTTTCGAGTTTTCAAATTTATATTTTGAAAGTGATATGGATTAGATATATTATGAGTTATGAATAGCATTTGTGTTGCATAAAATCTGGATTATGTATTCAATACTTTTTGTTTATTTACACATCGAATAAATAAAAAGTTCAAAAATGATATTACACATTGAGCTAAAGTTATATGGCTATTTTTGTGATGGTCACATATATTTATGGGCCGCGCTTTTTCCTCTCCTCTTTTAGCTTAGACACTCCTTTATTTTTGTATTTTGACGATAGTATCCCTCGTGGGGCCAGAAGTACAGCTCTACAAAAGTGATCCTCTTTTTATTATTTGGTCAACTTTTTTTTTATTTTGTTTCTTCTTTTATTTCTCGTGAGTCTTACTTTCCTTCTTCTTTCTTTCTTTCCACACCTTTGACATCTCAATTCTCTGCACTTGCAAATTGTCTCTTTGTTCTCTCTTATAGGCTATTCTCTTCTTTTTAAGCCTCCCGCTCTTCTTCTTCTTCTTCTTCTTCTTCTTCTATACACCCAATCCGTCCTCTGTTTTCTACCTATGATGCCAACCCCATCATCCTCCACACTTTCAATTAAAAAAGGAGCACTGGTTTTCTCTACCATAAAATGGGGAAAACAGAATTAGAGAAAAAAAAACATTAACCCAATAAAAACATGATTTTCAATTATAATCAGAATTGGGCGATCAACTACAAAATTGATTAATTCTAAGCAATCACTTTAGTAAAATTAGTTTTGTTGAAACGAAAATTTTCTAAGAAACCTAATTCTTTTCTGCATTGTCAAGTAAAATCTACACTTCTTTAAAAAGATTACTTATTTATAAACTTTCACTTTTGTTGTGTATATCACCATCACTTGTTTACTCAACAAAACTTATTTCTGCAGAAGTAAAATCCA